AATGGTTTTAAACTAAAAGAGGGTAGATTCAGACTGGATATAAGGAACAAATTTTTTACAATGAGAGTGGTGAAACACTGGAACTGGTTGCCCATGGAGGTGGTGGAGGCCCCATCCCTGGGAACATTCCAGGCCAGGTTGGACGGGGCTGTGAGCAACCTGATCTAGTCAGCAGTGTCCCTGCTCACAGCAGGAGGGTTGGACTAGATGACCTCTAAAGATTCCTTCCAACCCAAAACATTCTACGATTCTATAACTGCCAATGAGACTAAAGCTGGAGTTAAGACTTCACCTACTGCACAAAATGCTTTAACTATTCCACTACAGTTCAGTAAAAACATAAAGGTTGTAGCCACAAACACGCAGCTTTAAAGATAAAAAAAACCCCAAACAGCAAACCAACCCTGCTGCTTGGTGGGCCATGTATCACCAATAAGCAGGCTGACATTCAAAAACATCCCAGTATGCTTACACTGCCCCTTCAATCTGTTTGGCACAGGTATGACCAGGGTCAACGCTGCAACCCCCTCGACCCGCGAGCCAAGACAGTACAACTCTTGGCCATAACGGTTCTGGAGCGCTAGTGAGCAGCACATACTGCTGTGTTATCCCACAGCCTCTCTTGCTGAGAAACTACCAAAGCTTGCTCTCTAAAATTTTAGGCTGGAGCTTCTTGCAGCACACTGTTCTTTTACAATAGCACATACCTGTGCTTAGGGGACGCAGATCTGGATGGAGATCTTGAATAACTTTGATCTCTACTTCCACTTCGACTTCTGCTTTCTCTTCCTTTCTGAACACTGCAAGAGACAATCAACGTAAATTATTTTGCTTAAAGTAGTAAGGAAAAAAAATAAGCTTCTTAGTTATGAAAGCCTTACCCATTTACTGGGCTATTTGAACTCATTCTTTTTGCTCCCTCTGTTTTCCTTTTAGCATTCTTCATTGCCTGAACAGGTAGTGGTGAAGGTTTATTTCCTTTAACCTCTTTTGGAGACTCTAGGAAAACAAGCCTTTGTTACCTTATTTTGAAAGTATGGGTAGCGACTGAAGCCTCCCCTCGCCCCATTTCATCATCTTTGTAATAAATCAGCACTGTATACACGTAGTTTGCACATGTGTGCACAGATGCACGCACACACGACCACCCACAAGAAGTAGATCTGAAGAAGTTCAGAGAAGGCAGAAGTTCATCAGAATCATTTCTACCAAAATATTGAAGTAACACCATGGAATTAACTGCAATAGTAACACATTGCTTTCAGAGCCAGTTCAAGGCAGCTGAGCACCAACTTCCTTTTCTTGGCAATTACTCAGTATCTTTTTAAAGGTAAACTGAGGAGGAAGATGGTAAATACCTTCTAGGCAAGGCACGCACCAGACTGGAAACTTTAGACCAAGTATACAGGAAAATATTCCCCACCTGTCACCCAAAAATACTACTCCTGCCAGAGCTCCTAATCATACCTGTGCTTTAATATTGCTTTAGCAGAACTTGCCAATTTCAAGTATTTGAGTTTATTGCAAAACCACATAAATGCAAGTCCCTGTACTATGTAAGTTTAAATGAGCCTTAATTTTAGTTTTATTTTAGCCTTCATCCGTTTCCAGAAATTACAAAGTTACAATGCTATTCAAACTTTATCCTTTGAATAGCTGCTAAAAGACAGCTTAAAAAAACCCCAAACAACAACCAAACCACACCATCACACTGTGTATGCATCCCAAAAGGGCAAATACAGATTTAAGATGAGAGTTACTAAAACCAAGTTATCTACTACTTACCATTTTTTGGGATAGGGGAAAATCCCGATGTGTTATCCAAACTTGGGACTCCCTCAGGTACCAGACCTTTAGCTTGTGCTTTTGCCTCTTCAATAGCTAGTTTCTTCTTTTCTACTTTACTTTCCAGGTCAGATAAATCAATCTGTGAACACAGGAGCACCACTTACGACAAAACTTAGTGAACCAGACTTTCTGCTTACTCACTTACGGCACGGGGGCGGGGGGAACCTGAAGAGCCCCAGACACTGTGACTAACATCCTGTTCCACTTCGTGTAACCCAGCCTTGCAGCTGGTTTCAAATGGGATAAGGTTTTCCAACTCACATTCTAAGCCGCGGCCTTTAATGAAGGCTCACAATATGAAAAAGCAGCAAACCTTTTTCCGAGTGTAGAGTTGCAAAATTTTTAAGCAGATTTCTTGAATTTCTTCCTCTGCTGCTCCAAAGAGTAAAAACCAGTGGGGACGATTAGGAAGTGGAATCTGAAAGGGAGGGGAAGGCACGCTCAGTTTTCTGCTTCTATTAAAAGACCCAACAAACTTGAAATTAATGGAACTGTATGCTCACCTCCAGTGTCCTAGCTGCGAGGTAAATACATGCACAAGCAATGCTTTCTGGCTGGAATCTTACAAAGACATCTGTTCTCAGGCTATCATTCATGTAATTCCTGAAAGACAGGATAGCAGCAAAGTTGCATGGCACTGCAACGTTGTTGGGTGCTTTTTGGTTTTTGTTTTTACTTCTACAAGGACTACTTCTGCATTCAGTTACTAGACTTAACATTATACTCCTGTAAATCTAAAGAAAAGTTGAACGGTTTTACTAAAAAAAAATAAAAAAATAAAAAAAATAAATCCCTCAAGGGGAGGGATGTGTGATATTAAAGTTTGATTGACTGACTGACTGCTGAAAACTCAGTTGTGAAAAGAGAACCAATTTTAACTTCACTTTTCCTTCTGGATCTCTACTGGCCTGCTCTCATGCAATAGACAAGTTATTTTCATCAAGACAACACACAATATAATCTGAAGTACTCAGTTATAGATTTTTAGGTTCACATGTTTCTCTGCAATAGGGCTGAACCCAGATGGTTTGCTGAAAGCCGCAGCTCCTGTCGCAGTTCTCCCATGAAAATGCAGTCCACTTCAGCACACGTCAACTTCGTTGGAGATTTAAGGGCTCCCTTTTCCTTCAGAAGCATTGTCTTCCATCCAGAAGAGAATTCTTTTTGATGCAAAAAGCAGCCATAGAAGAAATCAGGGTGTTTGGGAACATCAGTTCGGGACAGTACTCAGTATTCAGGCAGATCTCCTCTTTGGCACATGAAATACGGTTTCCAAATTGTCCCATTTCAGTAAGGTTGCTTAAAATGAATATTCACAGAATGAGAAAACTGTAAAATATTGCATATATGCCAGTCAGTACACTTAAGCATTATTCTTCTAAATCTTAAATACACAAAGCAACTTCCTCTGAATCTGTCAGCTGATGTGCTTAAAAAGATCTAGATATTTGAGCACATGTGTCAAGTAAAGTATCAGATGGGGAAAAGCTAAAACCAGACACAATAGAAGGTCCTCAAAGTAATACACTTTCTGAAAGTAGTAATTAACCACGTGGGTACCCAGTATACAAGGATTCACTAACCCAAAGGCATCCAAACCAGAGACCACAGCCCAAACACTTGTAAGAGTTTACACAGGACAGACAAAAGAACTTGAATCCCCAGAATATCCAACTCCCACCTGCCCCAGTTGTCTTGCACTCTGGTTTATACGAAGAACAACTGCTACCCCGGAGAAGCAATGCTAAACATCAGCTCATCTTTCTGGGAGAAAGGAACTTCAAAACCTGCTTTTCTTGTCCCACTACAAAGAGAGCACAAACCTTTTGGCAAAGGAAGCGATACAGAAAAGCGGTACTTCAAACATCTGGAAGTCGTACAGCCGTTTCCTAATTTGCCAAATTGAAAAACATGCCTGCTTCCAAGTTTGGCCTCTGCATATTTAGCCTGTGGGCTCAGAATCGGACACATGAGGAAATGAATCCTTGTCACAATATTTTAAGAAAAAAGTAATAATGTAAAAACACACATTTCAAAAAACAATTATACTGGATATCCACCAGTTTTCAGGTACTGGAAGCAACAAGCACCAGTACACAAATATGTTATTTTAAACATCTGAACCGTTTCTCAGTTGGGGTAATCTCATCCCTCCTCCTCACCTACCCCTCCTTTCGCAACAAGTAGAAAACTGGTAACGAGTAGTCCGTAACTCACATTTGAGTACTTCATGCAACGGTACTGGGAAATCTGGCAGTGGGAAGTTTCTCTCAGTCCTAAGTATCACATTTGACTCCAAGCTTCACACATCTACTCAAATGTTTTTTTAACTAGTTTACAAATGGAAACTAGATTTCAGTTGTTGTAATTTACCCCTTTAAGACTTAAATCCCACCTTAATTTGCTTTATCATTTAAGAATACATCATTTTAACAGTTATAGAAATATAACATTAAACAGCTTTCAGAACTTCAACAATCAGGTTATAAAATATACAACAGTCAAAATGCACAATAAAAATAAAAGTCAAAAAGTATAAGCACAAGAAGCAGTTGGCCAGTTACTATACTATCATGTATATACCACCTGTCTAGAGTCAGCCTTCTCTTTGTAGAGCCTGCTTTGGTTTGACTGAAGACGGCAGCTATCCCTGCACCATAGCGCTTGGGCAGCAGAGGAGAAGTCTTAGTCACTTACCCTCAGAGGCTACCCTTTGATTAAAAGAGTACAGAAAAGAAAAGTCAAAACTGGTTCTCTACACACAGGTCACAGTACCAGACAGTTCAGTCAGCAGAAATATGATCTTTGGATTCACTAAAGGTTTCTAAACCACAGTATTGTTAAAAAAGCATTATTGTTTAAAAGCATTATTTATTCGTTAAGTTTAAGACCTGGAATTTTACATAAGCTTCCCATCCCCAAGCAAATCTTTACTGTAATGAGAGCAACAAGGCAGAAGACATTTCTTGGCAAACATGAAAACTTTCAGTGTATCCAGTCTTAGAAGCTGACATCTTGCATTATCCATATAGATAAAAGAAATTTATCTGTGCTGAGTTTTTGATACACCTGTAATCAAACTCAAGCCCTGGGAAAAGCCATTTCCCAGCACTGGTAACAGACTTTACCCACACATAATTTTCTCAGAACAAAAAGCCCAAGAAAACCCTATAACCCACTCAACATTTTCCCTTCAGCTGAAAAGTGAAAGCAGAGAGGAGGGAAGTGAGAAGTCAGGGTGGAAAGCTACCTTACCATTAAAACAGTGCCTCTAACTTAAGAGGCCGATCAACATTTGGGTAGTAGTTTGGGGCACGCCAAGAAACACTGGAGCTGTCTGGTGTGGCCCACAATCATTTCTGAGCAATGTTGCCCAGAGTGCCTCAAGTGACATATTTCTGCTACTGCCCCTGCTGGTCTCTTAAAACAAAGAAAATCAACTTACCATGAAGTCTGGACCAGGTGTTGGTTACGTTCACATTCTAATACCTGAAGGTACATAACGATTATCTGGAAGATATGGGTTATTGCGTTATTAACAAGAATCTTGAGAGCCACCTATTTATTTCAGAGGGACATCCATGAGGCATCTGTTATTCTCTTTCAAGTTCTAAACCACTCCACACGAGTGTTTGCAACACCTCAGCATTTATCCGCAGCTTCTGCTCTCCAATGCAGAAGTCTGCATGAGTTGACACTCAGCCAGATCTGACCTTCCTAGCTCTCCATCTTCTGAGCTCAGTCATCATGCTATTCATCTAGGTGTCTCGTCTTCAACTGCTTTCAAGCTAGGTATGTTCTCCTATACAATTCACGATTCCTTTTTAGCTGTAACTCGGGAGAAAATATTGCTAGCTGCAATAAGCAGTAACAGAAGTATAACGGTATTTGTAGAGAAAGGATCTAACACGTTGCATGTCTCTCGTTCTAGGTTTTTTCTTAGGTTTGAAAGGAAAACAAGGATGCAGATAAAAACACTACTCTGTTAGCAAAAATTCATACCAATTAACAAACAAGTATAACTGTAACAAACAAGTATAACTGTTCTCTGGGGTACACCGATAACATGAGTGAATTCTGAAATTAGAAAGGCTTAGAAAGACCTTAAGACAGCAGTAGCTTTTAGAGGCAGAAAGAGCAAGATCCCATGTTCTGCTGGCACAGAAGTAGGAGGTTCTTTTACCACACTTAGCTACTTCAGGCAAAACCCTAAGGGTACTAAAGCACCAGTGTAAACATTTGCAGTAGCTTCATCCTCCAAATATCATCCTAGCCTGACATGTGATAGTTAAATACTGAGAATTGCCTCATTTCTAGTAAAGCCCTTCACACCCAAGGGTACTTTTTACAACATAAGAAACACCAGCTCGCACGGGTTCAATAACCTCAGCGTTTCCACAAGGAGTGACCATGACACACAGTGTTTCTGATAATAAGATATCACGACCCTAGGTCTCCAGATTCCTTTCTGTTTAAGAATCTATGCTTACTCGTTTTCCAACACCAAAACTACCTACTTATATAATTTGACTTCAAGGAATACTTAGCATCTGCATCCACCTCCAGTCGTCATTCAGCAGTGATAGGAGACCAACTAGTAAGAATCTCTTAAATGAGAAAGAAGACATGGGGATCAGAAGCAGCTAGCTTTACTGAATTAACTAGCGTTATCATGTACAAACCATACAGCTTCCATGCAGTTGAGCAGTCTACTTCAAAGCATTTATAGCATATGAAACACTGATTATAAAGTTAAGTTATATGGTACAAACCTTATGAGGGTGCTTTACGTGAACACAAAATCCCAACTCCTTTAACACTCTTCTTTCTGCCTTAATAATTTGATTCTTCAAGTTCACATATTCTTGATCCAGTATTAGAGGCACAGGTTTTCTGCAAGACAATTTCAAATTCTGAAGACGCTAATCTTAACCTCAAAGAATACTCTTATCTTTACACAAACACAATTTAACCTGCATAAGAGCCATCACTATTTATAACACCAAAAATATTCACTTAATAAAACATGCCAACTCACTTTTCTCCTTCATCGCTTCAAGATTTATGAAACAGGGAATGATACTATCATTGGCCCGTGAAGTTTATAATTAAAATACAACACAAATACTTCAAATTATTTCAAAGTCTAAGCTTACTTTTTTTCCCGTAGATGTCTAAGGCGATGGAACACGTTAATTACATCCCTTATACGTCTTGGTGCTTCTTCAATTTTGGATGCCAGATGAACACAGGCCATTGACACATGCTGAAATATAAGTATTGCAAGGTTTTGCTCAAATCAGGAAGTGATCGCCTCCAACAGCTTAAGGAGGGATAACAAGAGAAAATGGTGGTAAAATAAGGAAACACTAAAAATTTGACAAAATCAGTACTACGTAGCTTTGTAAAATCATGTTGATCAACAAGTAAAATCCACAGGCTAGTTACCAACACTCGGATTACACCTAAGTTGACAACTTGCCAAAATAGATCAAAGATTAAATAACATCTGTAGCCATATACATCTTTTAACATTTTCTTACCTCCATGGAATGCTTCACAAAAGACTTGGTATAAAAAAAACGTTGAAATAGCACCTGTCCCGTAGCCATAGCCACCTAAAAAGGAAGAAACCACAACAGGTATTAACAAAACAACTACCAGTTCCCAAAAGAAATTACCTAGAATGTTTTCCACAGATTTAAGAGTAGCTAAGCTATATTTAAGTATGGGAGTAAGTTCAGAGGTATCTAAAGAAAACCGGGACCCCTACCTCAGTAACAAATTAAGTTGGCCAAAACGTTATCAACGTCACAAACACTGTCTGTAAGTCAAATACATAATTAAATCGCAAACTTCTTTTATGAAGTATGAAAACATGCTCCAAATTAAGACATAAAAACCACCAACCCAAATGCTAGAACCCAATAAAACTGAAAGTTATGACAGCACGCCAGAAAAACTCTACTTTTTTGGCGTGGAAGGAATCTTAATTGTATGACGATTTGCATATGCTCATAACACGATTTGAGCAGCTGAGACTCGGTAGGTAGAAGGTGCCTGGAAAGTTTTACACTCGGAGAGCAACGAGACCATCGGCGATGGGAGTTCGCCAGGACACAAACCCTTTCCGAGGTCACTACGGACCCAAGGAGGCCAAGAAGCCCGTCCTCCCCCAAGCCCAAGGGGCCGCGGGAGCCCCCGCCCTGCCCGGGCCGGCCCGGGGAGGCGGCGGGGGCGGCGCAGGAAGGCGGTTACATCACCCGCTTCCTGCTC